TAGGGTTTCTCTCCAGTATGGATTCTTTCATGAATTTGAAGATCACTATTCCATGCGAAGGCTTTACCACACTGATTGCATTCATAGGGTTTCTCTCCACTATGGATTCTTTTATGATTTCTGAGCTTACTTGGACATGAAAAGGCTTTACCACACTGATTACATTCATATAGCTTCTTTTCAGTATGTGTTCTTTTATGCATTTGAAGAGTACGCTGACATGCAAAGATTTTACAACATTGATTACATTCATAGGCTTTCTCTCCAATGCCTGATCTATTATGCATTCGAAGATGACCGTGATGTAAAAGGGCTTTACCACACTCATTTTCTTCATAGGGCTTCAATCCAGTATATGTTTTTTCATGCCTGTGAAGATGACACGCAAAGGCTTTAACATATTGAGTATATACAGAAGATTTCTGTCTAGTTTGACAATGATAACGGTACATGTGAAAGAATTACTACATTTAATACACTGTTGAATATTTTTATCTGTATAAATTAATTTTAAAATTTAGTACTATTTTAAAGAAGAATTATATGTTAAGGTTTTATCACCATGTTTACAATCTTGTTTTTCCCCTTCATTCAGGCATGTTTTTCATCTTTGAGGATAACTGAAAACAGCCTTTATTACATGGTTCACATTTACAGAATCTTTTTTTTCTGTATAAGAATTTTCATGTATTTGAAGAGAACTGAAAAAACTCAGAGTTTTACCACTCTTATTGCATTCATAACGTTTCCTATACTGTGAGTGATACTAAATTTGTTAAGTGAACTAGGACAAACAGAAGTTTTCACACAGTCCTAGTACTCATGGTGCTTTTCTGAAATGTGAACTTGTTGATATATTAACAATGAGACTAGAAAACCAAGTAAATGTATACTTGTATATCAAATTCAACAAGTATACTCAACATGGGGACTGTTACATATCTTCTACTTGTTCTGAGAGAGGGGTACGTTATATTTTTTCACATCCCTATGCTCATGTGGCTTGTCTCCAGGGGAACTTATGATATACTTAGTAAAGAAAGAATAACAAATATAAGGCTTCCACATTGAGTTCACAGTTTGACTTTCTGTTCTAATAGACTTGTGATATCTGGATTAAGGCCTCTCTACAACAGCTGACCCTTGATTTGTGACTCTAACTGTCCCCTCACTAAACTTAACACAGTCACAAGTATATGGGTTAAACTACCTTTTCTATGGAATATTAGCGTAATAGAGAATTTCAGAGATATACCTATCACCTTTTCAAAATGTATATCTTTTATAATAAGAATATGAAATAAATGCATTGACAATTTTACAGAATAGCTCATTGTATTATGAATCAAATGAAAATATAGGTTAAGGCATTGTTTCCTTGACTTCTTTCTTAAAAGAATGACTTTCAAATGTAATTCACCCATCTGAAATTTAGGTATATAATTTTGTGATAGTTTAATAAGCAACAATGTACTTTATTATGTACATTGTTGTTTTGGTTTAAAAGATATAGGATACATTACAAATTCTTCAGGGATATATCTGTATCAGCTTATACATGGAAATTACCTTTTATGTCTTCTGGAACTTTGACAATGTTTTTCAATATTATGGTCTTCCCAATTATATCCTAAAACACAGTGCCAGAAAAATGTATGTTATCTATTAAAATTGTAAAAAATTTAGTTACCATTTGAAGCAAGACTTAAAACCATGCCTGATTTATTTACACCATTTTTCTATCTCAATCATATTACAAAAGAGCATCATTAACCAATGAACAGTTGTCCCCTCATTTGAAACATAAAAGATAATTCAGTCTTACCTATAGCGGTGAGGTTTCTGTAGGTCTCCACCATCACATCTTTGTAGAGACTCTTCTGGGATGGATTCAACAAAGTCCATTCATCCCAAGTGAAGTCAACATGCACATCATCATAGGTCACTGCATTCTAAAAACCCATACATGTGTCCAATAGAAAGTATGATGTTGACAACACTGTAAATATATACTTCTTTGACATTATAGTCATAGAATTCTGGTGTTCCCCATACTTATTCCATGACATAGACATCATAATTCAATCACAAAGTCACTTTAGAAGCAAACTGAATACAAAGTTCACCATTGCCATTTATGAACCCGTTGAATGGGAAATCACTTTGCAAGAGAAATACCTACTAACCAACAATGAAAGATATGTAAACAGATCAATAGTACAGAGTACAGATAAGAAAAATTGTATGAATGATTAATTTCTAACTACAAAAAAGAAAAATAAGATGAAAAAGCTGGATGCATTGAGTCCTCTAATCCAAGGACTCAGAAGGCAGAGGCATGTATGTCTAGCTGCCTCTGAGTTGAATACCAGCCTAGTCCACACAATCACTTCTATGGCAGCCAGAAATACATATTAAATACCTCTTTCACATGATAAAAGTTAATCAAACATAAAAGTTAGAAATAACTCATAGGCTTTTGCTGAAGTTTCTACAAAAGTTATGCATTCACTTCAACTCTTTATTCATCTACCAGAAATCTGAAGTACCCCAATTTGAACTGAAACATAAATAAGATTTTACTAAAAGGCACTGTGTATTTTAAGAGTTACAAATTGACAAATGAAAATAATAGCAATTAATATGCTGATTACCAATAATGAACACAGAGCAGGAAAGATGGCTCAACAGTAAAGCGTCCTCATGGTGTTGTATAAAGGTGGGCTCAAGGACTTCTATTGAGGATCCTAACTATCCATTATTCCAAGGTCAAGGTTTCTAGTACAATCTTTTTTTGATCAGTGTAAGGACCAGGTACTCACTGGGGCATATCCGTGCATATAGGTTAAATACTCTTTTTAAAATAAAAATTCCAAACAAACAAAACAGGCAGAAAGAAGGTTATGCACCTGCAGTCCAATGACTCAAAAGACACAGGCAGTATTAATGTCATGAATACATGCCATCCTGGGAAATATAATGATACCCTCTGTAAAATTTAAAATTTAAGATATGGATGAAGTTCACTACAACAGTATAGGCTTGATAAAAACAAAACCATCATACAACAATATAAAAACACAAAAATCCAGGAATGCTGGTCCACCTTTAATCCCAGAACTTGGGAGTCAGAGTCAGAGGTTCTCTGAGTTTGAAGCCAACCTGGTATATAGCACTACTTTCAGAACAGCTAGGTCTACACCGACAAACTTTGTCTTCAAAAATAAATAAACAAAAATATAAACAGTAGGCTACCAAACCACCTTAGCACCAAATAGCAGCTAATTCTACTGAATCTTGTGTGATTCAGTGATAGAGTTTATGGTGGTGGTTAAGTTATGACAGCAAAAGAAGAAAGCTGACTGATTAGTTTCAACCACAACACAGTACGTACAAAGAATTGGAAATGGATTGAGACTACAGAAATTCATATTGTGGGATTCCCTTCTAGATGCTGTGATTATCACTGTTTAGTACAGAAACAGCTTTGGGACTATAACAGAGCTTTAGGACAACTCTAAGGTAGGTAGGGAAGACTAAACTGAATGCTGGGAGGATGAAGGTGGAGTCAGAGAGAAGTCATGGAGCCCTACCAGAGACAGATGCTGAGAACTTTACCTCCTAAGCCACAGCCACATGGCAATACACAAATTAACAGAAATTGATTAAATTAATATGTAAGTGTTAACCAATAAGAAGCTAGAACTAATGGGCTAAGCAGTGATTTATTAATACAATTTCTGTGTGGTTATTTTCAGACTGAGAAGCTGGGAACTACCGAGTGGCTTCCCATAACAAACTGGTGCCCATGTAGCCAAATAAAATCCACTTAAAATCTTAGAGAGCTTGGAAAGGAATTATAGACAGTAAAAAATGAAGTTTAGCCACATTTATTTCCCCAAATGGGCTTTACTTACTGGTGACGTGCTGCAGCACTTTTAAGAGAGGCTTTCCTGATTTACAGGTAGCTTTAAAAAGTTTCACAATTTTGAAATGCTGGCTTTCTGGGCTGTGCTGTCAGCGCCAACTCTGACTCCTTCTGGAGGGTCTGCGAGAAGATTACTAATGGCAACTTAGACCGGGTGTATGCCTGAAAATGGGGTAATGTACATGGCTCTCAGAGGCAGTAAATTTGCCTCTGTCATGTTGGACAGTGTTGAGCAAGCAGGCACAGCTAAGTTCATAAGAAGTGCTTAGCATTTTAACAAGCGCTCCAGAACACGACAGAATAACAAATACACATTAGTACAGATTTGCCGCACCAGCACAGCAACTGTCGTTCTTCTGAGCGAGGAACGTCAGGATTAACATGCAACACAACTTCAGGTTCTGCAGACAAGCCACTATTCCACTTTCTCACACAGTATATATAGCCCTCAGCAGGGGAGGCCAAGACAGCAAAAGCAGGAAGCTCATCACCGTAACTCAATGGCTTAGGGGTAAACATCCTTAGAAACATTGCTGAAGACAACAGGTTGTTCCTGTTTTTGTTCCAGCTTTCAACCAAGTGCAATAGTGCAAAACAGATCAAGTGGGGGTGTGAAGGCCTGTCCTCTAGGGACCCAACACAGATTCATACATAAAAGACCTCTAAATGAGACACAGTATGTCTAAAAAATGTACATAGGCCTGAGAGAAAGAAGAAAAGTAATACAGAGAGTTATTAAAGAAGTAAATGGTTTATAAAAAAATCTAATGAAGACTTTAAAAAGACAGAGTACAGACCATCATAAACTAGTAAAGATAATAAAATAAAAAGTAAAAAGTAATAGAATAAAAATAAGCCACATAAAGATGGACTATATACAGAGGGTCTGGATTATGTATATTATTGGGCTTTACTATGAATTTTTGACTGTAAAGGAGCTAAGTAACAAACATATATGCTTTAAAGGTATCATGTCTTCAAAATTTGGGTCTAAGGATTTTTTGCTTTAGAAAAGAGGTTCTTCTGTTTCCACAGAGCATGAGAACTGGTGGAACCCTTCCAGACTAATGTGGCTTGATGAATCAAGACCACTCAAAGGGTCACTGTGAATGTCCCCAAAAATTACTTCACAAAATAAGAAGCAGGAATCAGTTTGGAGAGAACTATACCCATATTCCCAAATACAATTCATAAATGTTTTTTTACATTTAAAGGGGGTGATGCTATAGTCATTTGCATTGGGATGGATCTTGGTTTATTGATACAAATTTAAGGTCAATTCAATTATATGTATTTCTGCTCTTGATTAAGGTATTGTATTTGTGCAGCTCATTTAAACATGTAATGTATAATTAAAATATAGGTAGAGAGTCATCTATGATAGTAATACTCAACTTTGTACTAATGTTAGTTAGGTTTTCATGATGTACAGACATGTATTTCAAATAGGGACTCTTCAAATCTTTCAGAGACTTTAAGAATGTGGCATTTAAAATGTATTAAGATAGAATTCAACAACAATGCTATCCTCAGGAAACCAACAAACTCATGGAAACTGAACAGTCAACTACTGAATCACCCCTGGGTCAAGGAAGAAATAAAGGAAGAAATTAAAGTCTTACTTGAATTTAATGAAAAGAAAGACACAACATACTCAAACCTATGGGGCACAATGAAAGCAGTGCTAAGAGGAAAGTTCATAGCACTAAGTGTCCAATTAAAAAAAAATGGAAAAGAACACATTGGAGACTTAACAGCACACCTGAAAGCTCTAGAAAAAAAAAGAAGCAGATTCACCAAGGAGGAGTAGAAGACTGGAAACAATCAAACTGTGGGCTGAAATCAACAAAATAGAAACACGTAAAACAATCCAAAGATTCAATGAAACCAAAAGCTTGTTCTTAAGCACAACCTGGCAGGAGGCAGTTCCTGTGTTTCAATAGCCTGCCCTAGGACAAGTAGGCCCAGTGTCAGCTCAGTGACATTCCTGGCCAGCAAGGAGCACTGATCCTCTAGCAGACATCCATCGGAGGGGTGAGTTTGCTCCAGGCCAGCGGTAGAAGCCCAGCAAGGAGGAGTTTAGACTTTCCCTGACCCCCTTGACTCCCTGATCACCCTGCAGTGGTGGCTCCACCCTGCTGAGCTCTCCCACCTCCCATCCCAGGGTTCATCCAGTTACACCTTCCTCTATTCCTCCCTTCCCCCAGGGGCCATAAAATGTGCCCAGCTCAGCTGCCTTGAACACTGGGCCTGGGCTGTAAGTGCAACTCAGCAGGAGGCAGTTCCTACGTTTCAATAGACTGCCTGAGGAAAGGTAGGCCTTCTGTCAGCGAAGTCCCTGCCCAACAAGGGAACCTGACCCGTTATCATAAGATCCAATAGAGAGCATCTGAACGAAGAGATGGGCAGATGCCAAGGCAAGAACTACTCCAACAATCTGAAAAACAACATGAAAACACCAGATCCCAGCGACACTACAATAGAAGGACTTGAACAACTTAATCCAGAAGAAGTGGGAAAAAGTGCCATTATGAAAGCAATAAAGTCCCTTAAACAAAATATGAATAACTCCTTTAAAGACCTGGATTAGAAGTATAACAAAAAGTTTGAAGAAATGAGTAAAGAGATGAATGAGAAGTAAAACAAAAAGTTCGAAGAAATGAGTAAATCCGTGAATTATACCCTGGGAAACCAAGAAAAAGTAATCAAACAGGTAATGGAAACAGTTCATGAATTGAAAACTGAAATGCAGGCAATGAAGAAAACACAAACCGAAGGCCGGCTGGATATGGAAAATCTAGGTAAGCAAACAGAGACTACAGAATCAAGCATAACCAATAGAATACAAGAGATAAAAGAACGAATCTCAGAGTCTGAAGACACCATTCAGAAAATAAACACTCTGATCAAAGAAAACGGCAAATAAAACAAACCCTCATCACAAAACATTCAAGAAATCTGAGACACAATGAAAAAAGCAAATCTAAGAATAATAGGGATTGAAGAAGGAGAAGAATTGCAGATCAAAGGCCCAGAAAATATATTCAACAAAATTATAGAAGAAAAGTTTCCCAAACTAAAGAACGATATTCCTATGAAGGTTCAAGAAGCATACAGAACAACGAATAGACTTCATCAAAAAAGAAAATCCCCTTGCCATATAATAATCAAAACACAAAACATATAGATTAAAGAAAGAATATTAAGAGCTGAAAAAGAAAAAGGTCAAGTAACTTATAAAGGTAAACCTATCAGACTTACACCGGACTTCTCTATGGACACCACGAAAGCCAGAAGGTCCTGGATAGAGGTACTGCAGAAACTAAGAGACCATGGATGAAAACCCAGACTACTGTACCCAGTCAAGCTATTATTCACTATCAATGGAGAAAACAAAATATTCCAGGATAAAAACATATTTAAACAATTCGTAGCCAGAAATCCAGCCTTACAGAAAGTAATAGAAGGAAAATCACAACCCAAGGAATCCAACATTGCCAACACCGCGTACAATAATAACTCAGACTTATAGCGACCCTTCACAACCACAACTCAAAGAAGGGAAACATACAAACTCTATTACACACAAAAAAAAAATAAAAAAAAATAATAATCAGAGTCAAAAACCACTGGTCATTAATATCACTTAATATTAATGGACTTAACTCACCTATAAAAAGGCACAGACTAAAAGATTGGATATGAAAACAGGACCCAACATTCTGCTGTTTACAAGAAACATACCACAACCAAAAAGAGAGACATCTACTCAGAGTAAAGGGTTGGGGAAAGGTTTTTCCAGCAAACGGACCTAATAAACAAGTGGGTGTGGTCATTCTAATTTCCAACAAAATTGACTTCAACCTAAAATTAATCAGAAGAGATGGAGATGGACATTTTATACTCATAACA